GGAACACATTAATTAACTGAAAAATGTTGCATAGTATGCCTTTAAATTGAGGAATCTATGAAAGAATTCAGTCAAATATTTGGTAAAGTTATGTATAAAATGTAAGTTTTTCTGTCTCTTTTCTGGCCTCCTGTTGTGTCTTCTTTCCAGAAAATGAAATCTAATTGCAGATCATCCTGAACATCTGAATTATGTAAATGATTGGGTTTTTTGTATTTAACCAGAAAAGTCCCATTCAGATTAGAATCCTTTGACGTTAAAGTCCATAATCAGAAGTAGAAGCTTTGGTTCTGTCAAAATGTAAAAAAATATGTGAATAAATAAACTACATTTTTCCGTAAAATTGATACTTTTATCCCTCACAGACGCTCTGTGGATGTATTATTATTATTATTATTTTTTTTTTAAATAAATATGAAAAACAATGAGGTGATTATCAATTTGATTCATGCTCCACAATTAATTTCAGAAATGTCCCATTTACACCTTTGTGGTGTAACCTGCTGCAGGCTGGTTGCTCCTGTTTGTGGACTTCTGCTTGTGTGACATGTTTACAGCCAAAGTGTTTTGCCCAGAACCTTCTTTAGTAGCTCAGTTTCTACAGACAGCAGATCACCTCCAGCCTGATCCTGCAGCTGCATCAGTGAACATCATAGTCACTTCAATGTAAAGCAAATTAGGAAAACATGGCATCTCTAAGCCATACGAAATCGACCCGTCCTAATATTAACTTTTCAGGTTCAGAATCGGCTGACACTGTTAGTTCCACCAGAGTAGAACAGGGTTTCCACGGGTCATTAAATATCATTAAAAGTCATTAAATTATTCTTTTTTAAATGAAGACCTTAATTGGCATTAAAGTTCATTAAATGTGATTATGCCACGATAATCACATTGCGATATATTTGTGCGGAACTGCTTCTGGTTGATAGTAAAGCCGTATGTTGGGAAAAAAAAGCTCGAGGCGGAGAAAAAGCTAGAGAATGGGAAATGAAAAATTTCAACAAAAGTGGCTGGAAAACGAGGATGGCTGCAGCCTGTTGACGGTAAAAATGATGAGATTAAAATAATTTCTAAGACCATTAAAAAGCATTAAATTAGAGTTACTCATTCCTGCATAAACCCTGTAAAAGCTGACTGTAGGCTGTACCTTCTCCATTGTAAGATCAATAAAGTTGTATTCTACTTGTGTCTGGAGAAGAACACCAAGGGTCTGGTTGATCCTGGCTCTGGGACAGTTGACCCTGTTAACCACCTGCAACACAGGACTGTCTGTTTAATACAGTGAAACCTGACCGACTCTTGTTTCTCTGTCTGTCTACAGAGATGATGACGACATCAATGACGTGGCGTCGATGGCAGGGGTCAACCTTAACGAGGAAAACGCCCGTATCCTAGCAACAAGCTCCGAGCTGGTTGGAACGAAAATTCGGTCCTGTAAAGACGAATCCTTCCTGCCACCAGGCCTGCTGCACCGCCGCATCCTGGACTCAGGTGAGGCCATCCATCCACCTGCTACATTTTTTACTGGTTTATACTTCTCTTTACCAGCAGAGGGAGCCACTGCACCTTTGGAACCTGCTTCATATTTAGTTTATTAATCTAATTTCTTTACCAGTGTTTCATTTTCTTCATCAGTGATCGAACAAATGATTTTTATGTGATGTTTTTTTTTGTAACTGGTGCTTCTGAGGAGGATCTGAAGAATTGGCTCCATTCTGTGCTTTCTTTCTGTCACCTCCTTCATTCTAATCTTCTCCAACTGTTCCTGTTTTTCCTGTTGGCTGCAGACCTGCTCTCACTCTCTGTTTGTGTTCAGGCCATTGGAGCGTTCTGTTCTAATGGCTCCATTTGGTTCTATCCCCAGCCAAGAAGCTTGGAGTGACTGAGGTGCCGCTGGATGTGGTGAACCTCATCTCACATGCCACGGAGTCCAGACTGCGCTCTCTGCTGGAGAAAGCTTCTGTGATCGCCCAGCACCGCACAGACGGAGCGAAGGTAAGAGAACCACTGAGAATGTGGAAACAAAACATGGAAAAACGAAAGTCGCATACGTTACTACAGTTGTATGAATTACGGCTGACCACCAGAGGGCGGTGCTGAAACCAGTGAATGTTCCCTTCGAGCATAATTACCTGGATTATCACTCAGTAGCTATATATATTTATACTGGTGTCGTTCAAAGCTCTGTTTCTACAGAATCTCACAGAACCATGGATTCTTAGGGACAGAGAATCTTTGGCATTTATCCATAGAACCATGGTTACTTTAAAGGTATACTATGCAACCGGGGGGGATTTTTCAGCGAGGCTCCCCCCAGAGGGCGA